TCTTGTTGCTGCCCTTGTGTCTTCATCTCTGGCCTGGCAAAGGCTGGGATCCCCCCCCCCAAGACTTGAACCCTTGTGGCAGAGATCCCGGGTATTTTATCAGTGTGACCTCTGCCGAGTGAGTTACAGAAGCATGTCGGTGATGTGGCTGAAGGGTCCATGTTTCTTCCTTCATTGTGCGTGCAGGCCTGGCAAAAGGGAACACTGTTGCAGGATGGGAACTGCAATTCTCATCTTTGGAACTCCCTGATATGTATTCCTCCCACAGCTCTTAGTGCTCATGCCACAGCCCACTTTAGGGTAGAGGCTGCTATATTCCCTTTGCTCCCACTCTCGTGTTTTGGGTGTGGGCTGTGGCAGCTTGATGTTAGGGGTGTGTGGTTGCATCAGCCAGCATGAAATCTTTGGCTGGCTCAGTGTCTGCCTGTCACAAGGGCATGACATGACTGATGGGTTGCTAGGGTATCTGGTGCAAATGCTATGTTCTGCATTAGGTCTTCTGTTCACTTGCATCTCCTCTACAGAGCAGGCACAAAGTACAGAGTGGTATGCTGGCACGGCACTGGTGATGGGGTCTTAGGATGAGGCTGTTAGAGGTAGTCCCTGTGTGATAATTCCTGAAATTATAGCCATCCAGTGAAACAAGATGTCCAACTAAGAAATGAATGCAGGAAACGCTGATGATCTGCAGGGGCTCTCGATTGACAGGAAATTGCAGAATCTCAATCTGTCTTCCGTATTCAAATCATTAAGTCTTCTGCTTCCCCTACCTGAAATCTCCCAGTTTGTTCTGTTGTTGACTTCTGTTATTGTGACAAAATAAGGAGATGACAAATTTACAGATCCATCCTCATTCTCAACGGTGAAACTGAGGGGAAGTTTTGAGATTGGATACTTCATCCGGATTGCCTGAAGAGAAGTTACATACAAATGGTTGATATAAAAAGAGAGTGCAGTGCAGGCATAACTATTCAAAATGCATGGATTTCTATGGGACTCTTTCAGTGTCAGTCATGGAATAATGTAGGTACCACTAAACAGGTTTCTCATCTGGTCTGATACAACACTTTTGCAGCTACACAATTATTTTCTTAGCAATCAGTCAAGGGAATAATTCGTCCCAAGGCTGTGCTACCCATTAGACTGACAGGAAACATGTCCACACACCACGTGAAGTGGACTTCTGTGTGTCTGTCCACTGCCTTCAGTTTCACATCTGGCTGGATTTGAGCAGCTGGAAACCAGCATGTCAGGGCTGTAGCCAGGAATTTTTTGGGGGGGCGGTGCTGGGGGAGGGAGAGGAATAGCCCCTTACCATGGCTTCAGGCTGGCGTGGTGGTAGCATGGCATGACTTAAACTCTCCTTCCCTTCCACTGCACCTTCACAGGGCAACATGGGAGGATCTTATTGCTAGTGTCATGTGACTCGGGCCACATGATGGTCTCATGATGCCAGCAGCGAGATCCTCCCATGCTGCCTGCTGCAGACACTGTGGAGGGGAGAGCTTAAGCCATGCCACGCTGCTGCTGCGCTGGCCTCAAGCAATTATCTAACCCTCCTTCCTTCCACTGAGCCAGCTCTTCTTGCTGCTTCCTCCTGCTTCTGGGGCAAGGAATGAGTGGAAGGATGGAGGGTTACAGAAACCTCTTTGGGCCAGCACCGCGGCATAGCTTAAGGAAAAACGGAACTGAAAGGGAAGATTGGGGAAGATTGGGTAGGGTGCTGCAAATTCGATAGGGGGTGCTGCCCCCAGTGTCCCCCGCTGGCTATGGGCCTGCAGCATGTCCTATACTCTCTCCACTTCTCTAAGCAATGAAAAATCCTAGGGCCACCTCCTTAAGCACTGAGAACAGGCATAGTCATTGCTGCAAACTTCACTTCCTTGGATTAATGAACACATTTACAAATATCAAAAAGAACACAGGAGAAGTAAACAGGCATTTCTTCAGCAGGCAGCAGATCCCCAGGCCGCAATCTATACAATCACCACAAGGTGACGTCCCTGCTCTACCAAGAAAGTCCCCCAATTCAAGCCACAGGCTACTTTTGCTGTTTTTCTGCACCCTCCCCACACTGCCTTGTCCAAACTCTGATGGGTATCTCGATCCAAGCACTTTAGATCTCCCCAGCTGTTAGGAGACCATCTGTTATTAGTTCCATTTGATAAAAGATCAGCTGACTGCAATATTGGCCAGCTAAAAGTTGTAACACATAATCCTGTTGCTAGATAACTGCAAGGTATCCAGCGAAGGGGGCTTTGATGCTCGAAAGCTTATACACCCAGAATCTTGTTGATCTATGAGGTGCTACTGGACTTGAATCTAGCTGTTCCACTGCAGACCAACACGGCCACCTTCTGAATCGTAACTACAGGGGTACCCTCTTTAGCTGTCTACACCAGGGCAAAAAGAGAGGCAGAAGGACCATGTGACAGAGAAGAGGGAGGATGGCTGAGAACAGGGGGAAAGAGCATTGTGGATGTACTGGAGGAGTGCAGATGATGAGCAGCCATCTATGTATGTGAGACTGTAAAGTTCTTAGCCCTGTCCAGGGCAGCGAACTGGGCATAATTCCATTGCAAAAATATTTCTAATACTGTGGCAAGTGATTCTTACCTTCTCCTTGCAGTCTGAAAAGGCAACCAAAAATGACAGCTTCATATTGTCTGTACAACCGCATTCAGATCGCTTTGTTTTGCTAGCACACTGTTTGTAAGTTCCAGAAGACTGTGGGGAAAAATATGCAAATGAAACGAATCTCAGTTGCTATCATTACAACATCTCGAACATTAAAAAATGACTAAACAATGCAGCTCTCAATTCTTTTTCATAATAAATTTTTATTTCCTATAATACATACTTCTAACACAACATAACTGAGACAATCTTAAACAGAACATAACACATATAACAGATCCTTCTCCTCATATAACCTAAATATTGTACCTACATTTTTATATATATTCATTAGATTTGCGTTGGCTTCTAACCATTTATATACCTTTAACCAAACTCTTTGAAATAATGAATTCATATTCCCGTGAAGTTTATGCGTTAAGTTGTCCATTTCGGCCACCTCTATTACTTTGTTAATAAAGTCCCATTTACAAGGTGCCGTTTCACTCTTCCAAAATTTTGCCAGCACTATTCTTGCTGACGTTAGTAGATGTAATATTAGGTATCTTTCATCCTTTCTCCAGTTTTCAGGAAGTATATTTAATAAAAATACCTCCGGGTCTAACGGAATTTGCAAATTAGTTATTTGTACCAGTATCAGATGGACCGCTTTCCAATATTGTTTTACTTCATTACACGTCCACCAGGCATGATAGAAAGAGCTTATCGATGCAGCTCTCAATTTAACTTGAAAAGAGTGGTCTAGCTAACAGATGTTACCATATTACCATTGAGAGTCTTAGGGGTGGGGTGAAGTGGCAGAGTCCTGTGCATCCAAAATCGATAGAAAGCAGTTTTAGATAATAGATCTATGGCAGTCGAAAGGGTGAGGACAGGGTAGACCATGGGACCACTTTGGTCTTACATTGAGGAGAAAGCATAACAGAAGTGCTCTCCTGA